ATATATATGCATATATATATATATGCATATATATGTAACATTAACATAAAAAATTATATTAAATATATTAGCTTTTTAAAAAAAATCATATTAGTGGTCCTCGGGATTTAAAAGTATGAATTTGGTGGTCCCTGAGATCCAAAAGATTGGTGACCCCTGCCATAAATAATGCCTAACAATATTTAGCGTAATTCAGCAGTTTTAATTTTCCTCCCTGCAATGTAAACATGTAAATTAAGGTGACATTGTATTATTCAGTAATAAAATCATGTGTCTTTTGGCAATTAGCTATAGACTAAAGCAATCTGATAATTTGTTACTCAAAATATACTCAGATAAAAATCTCAAGTGAACATATTCCTTCATTGATTAAAAGGGATAATGCTCATATTACCTAGCTAGTGCAGATCTCACATTTATGAATATAATAGTCAATTCCAGGCTGCCAACAAACTTGCTTATTGGATAACCTGGGAATAAATATTAAAAATGCAAACGAAGTGTATTAAATACCCCATGTCGTTAGACCAGGCTTAGATTGCAAAGTATATATTCTATGTACACACATAATTATATAAATTGAGTCAACTACATCTGTCTGGTTTACCAACTTCCTTCCGCACCATTTCCAATTGGTAAACAAAGAATTATTACCGCAACTTTATTCATTTTCAGAGGCCTATATTTCTACCCCTATTCTACTCGTTAACATGTCAATCAACAGTGCCAAAATAGGTAAGCACTAGTTACACGTTTGCTCGGGCTGCAAGTTTTGATGACATCCGGAGGAAAGGGACAAATCTGAGCATCTAGAATCCTAAAGCGTGCTTACCATCTCTATAATCTTCGTTTTCCTGCCCGTTTTCTTCTTTACAGTGAAAATGTATTGGGCCAGGACTACTCCTCCAACCAGGGCGCATACGCTGGCGCTGGCCACGGCTCCCATTTTGGCTACGGCGCTCTTGTCCATAATGGCACACTTAAACACCGGCTTTAGAGTGGAACTGAATAGAAATTTCGGTCTCAGAATCTGAACTCCCAGCAAACCACTAAGTAGCTTTCTGAGGCCCTGCACGCCGTCTGCCGCACTGGATTCTCGTAGTATCCTTGCCCTTGCGTCAAAACGTCGTTAAATGAGAAAAGTAAGTGAATCTCGTCTCCTGCTGCCTCAGAGGCTCTTACTCCTTTTCTTAACAGGAAGTGCGCCTAGACTACAAGAGAAACGTCATTTGACCCTAACAACGATCTTGACGCTCGAACTGAGCGAATGACTAATAAGGCTATTAGGAACGGCTTGGCTGGGCCTATGGAAGAAACCATGTTACTCCAAAACAGGGTGGAGTAGTTTCTTTTTTGTCTTTCTAGTTATCTTAATTCAGAACAACTCTCCCATTTCTCTCCTTACATTATAAAATTGATTCTAACAAGATGCTGGGGAAAAGAATACTTCCACATTTCATAGATATTTCTCTCTTTGTATGCCGAATAGTACAAGCCAATCTACCGCTAGTCCATCCATTACTTACCCTTTTTTGGGGGGTAAGACTACACTTCCCAACGTGCACTCTTCGGCCTAGACTCCTCCTCCTCCCACCGGCAGCAAACTTCAACGGTGGTTACAGTCTTCCCGGCCAAAGGGATTTCCCTGGGAATGGGAGGGGTCAGAGCAGACTTGGTTTGTCAAGGTACTATGACAACGGCAACGAAAATGGCGGTTAGTTTCTGTGGCTTTTCATTTTATCGTCGAGTAATCAAGTTCATCCGCGTTTCTGTTTAGTAGGTATGATTTTATGTTCTCTTGGCAGTTTCCGTTTATTTAATTTCTCATAGGTTTCTCGTGTAATGCTGTCATAAACCGGTTGCACTTAAAAGAATACCGTTCTGATACAGAGCAAAAAGCTTTGAAGCCTATCAGAAGCGACCCTCTCTAGCGCTCACTTCTCTGGTAACACGTATATACTACTTCAGTTCTTGGAATGCTTCTTCTCTGTAACTAAATTTGTGTAAGGTGAGGGGTTTAAAAGAAAATTCATCAGTTACAGAACAAGTCGGGTAAGTGAATAAAATAGGCATAATTTAGCTCAATGGAAAAAGTTATTGTTTGCAATTGCATAATACTCTGCAAATTTTTACCCTAACAATAACAAACGTGTAAGATTGTCATTATAGTCATGTTATTTTATCCATGGATATTTTGAAATATATCTCCGTTTGGATGTAGTGTGATGTAAGCATCCTTTTTTCATTGGTTCATTTATGCATTTGTACATGTTTTCTGGGTCGACATGATATGCTTGGAATAGTCTTTTGTTAGTGCTAATCTAGATCTTGAGTATTGAGTATTGTAAAAATTTGTTTTGTTTTTTTAAATTACAAGTGAACAATAGCAGTACTGGCATATTCTTAAAATAACTTTTGCGCTGTTTGTGGAACATTTGCACAACTTTTGTCATAAATTTTGTAATTGATAGAAAAATGTTGAAATAGCAGATTATACTATTTGATTATGTATACTTAAAAAACTTTGCATTAATATACTCACTTGATATTATCAAGCTAAGGATTACTCATTTTCTTCCTCACCATACACCAGATAACTTTAAGTAGGCATTAGCACAAGCTATTTATATTCTGCCAGATTGAGTTCCTCAGCTGTGGTCACAAGGACAAATGTAAGTCAATTATGGTAGAGAATTAAATGATCTTGTAATGTCTGGATTCCTGTTAAAATCCATTTTTGTTCTTCTGTTTTTTAATCTTTTGTTTGCCACTTAAAGTTTCAACTAGCAAGATGGGCATCTGCATAAATAATACAAAAATCAAAGGAAAACTTTTGTTGCCATTGAAGGGAATAGGATAGGAATAATTATTGCCTTGAATAATTATTTTCATATGGGATGGTCGATAAAATACTTTTGTTCTGGTCTATCAGCCATTCTCTGTTTTATTCTTCTTCCCACTCAGTTTTCCTTTTCTCATGGTCACAAAGCAGCTAGTATTCTGTGGTCATTAGGGTTCCCCCCTATATACTAAGGAAAGAGGGGGTTTGGGTTTACCAGACCTGGAAATACAATTTTGTATTTTGAGGCATGCTGTTTGGCCCAGTTAAAAGAGTGGGTTAAGCTTCAGAATAAGAGGCTACTTGAATTAGAGGGCCATGAATTAAGGTTTGGATGGTACAGTTATTTATGGTATTGTTGCAGGAAATGACAAGACTCAGCCCTTGGAAGCTAAAATAAGTTGCTTTTATTTGTGCAAAGGTTCAGAGCAATATAGCTAAAGCAACATCTGAACAACTTCCTATAGATCGACACTCACATATATATACACTTCAGAAGCAGCAAACCACGGAAACATAACTTGTCAATCATTCATTGGTTACTTTGAATTACAACCCCCCCTGTTGCTAGGCTAAAGTAATGAAATACCTTCCCCTCTCACTAATCTATGTCAAAGGTATCTTGCCACAGCATCTAGTTTCCGGCAGTACGTTCGTGGTTTTGTTGCAAGCGAGACATGTGGTTTTCTGTAACAAAGCTTCCTGCTTGAGAAATATTAGTGACCGACCGATGAACCTGTGATCTGACATTTTCCATTTTCTTAATACACACATTTCACTATCTAGAACAGGGGTGGGCAAACTTTTTGGCTCGGGGGCCTCATTGACTTTTAAAATTTGACAGACGGGCCGGGTCAGCACAAGATTTTTTGGGAATTGTGCCGCCCCCTTCTCCCCCTTCTTCTCCTTCTTCCCCTCCCCTTGGAGGTCCCCTGAGTCAGGAGTTGCTACCACCGGCGCAGCTCTGCGCGGCTCCAGTCCCTCGTTGCTTTGGGAAGGGAAAGGCAAAAAGGAAGAGCCGCGGCGGTGCTTTGAAATGGCAGCAGCGGCACCGGAGGCTCAGGCTCAGCGGCTCCTTGTTTTGCCTTTCCCTTCCCAAGACAACACGACTGGAGCCGCGCGGAGCTGCGCCGGCGGTAGCAACTCCTGACAGCCCCAGCCGGACACCTGAGCGGAGCCTGGGCGGAACTGCCTGTTGCTGCTGCGGGCCCTGCTGCGGGCATCTGGCTGCCCAAGTAAAGAACCACACCAGCTCAGGGCAACTGTGAGGAGCAAGAGGGGAAGCCAAGGTGCTCATTTCATAGCAGTTACCTCACTCTCTTTTGCTCCAGTTAGGTGCTCCCAACATGCACAAGGAACATGAAGGGAGGCAAACACGCACGGATGCGTTTTAAAAGTCAGAGAACTTTGCCCAAGACTTCTCATGTATTCAGGGGCTACACTTCTCCCAATGATGAGTTGGTGGCGATCTAACAAAACATCTTCCAGCTCTTAAAGATTGACTTTAAGAGTGTCCCAATGGAAGAAGCCAAGAACGAGAACAAAAGTAGAGGCGGCGGGGGCAACAAGGGCATGTGATGGGTCCCTCCACGGTCCCCTCCCAGGTGACAGCCAGGGCTTTGGCACCTACTTTTTTCCTGAGAGGTGCGGTGTCTGCCTCCCTTCATACTCCTTGTGGAGGGACACACATGCCCCATCACCCCTGCCGCCACTACGTTTGTTCAGCTTCTTCCATGGGGGCACTCTTAAAGTCTACCTTTAAGTGGTCCCGGAACATCTGCCCTCCTGGAGCACGCTTTCTTCCTTCTCCTGGAGAACGTGCCACTTCCAGCCCGGCCTGGCCCGGTCAGCCAACAGGTGACCACATGTCCTGGGGCTTGTCACAAGATGTCTGCAGCATGCTCTGTTCTATGTGTCAGGCCCAGCAAGTCCGAGCAGCCGGCTCATAGAACAGGGTGGTGCCGGACCATTGCAGAAGCGGAGCAAAGCCAGAGATTAGTAGCTCCTCTTTCGGCGCAGAAAGCTTCCCCCAACCAGCTGGCTGGTCGCCTCCTCCTCAGCCATACAGAACAAACAGGCAGAGAAGGAGGAGAGCAGCTGGCCAGTTGGGGGAGGCTTCTTGTGCTGTGAAAGAGGCGGCTAATGATCTCCGGCTCTGTCTGCTTCTCCAACATCCGGTGCCGCCCTGTTCTATGTGTCAGGCCCAGCAAGTCCGAGCAGCCGGCGCACAGAACAGGGTGGTGCCGGACCATTGGAGAAGCGGAGCAAAGCCAGAGATTAGTAGCTGCCTCTTTCAGCGCAGAAAGCTTCCCCCAACCAGCCGGCTGGTCTCCTCCTTCTCTACCTGTTTGTTCTGTATGGCCGAGGAGGAGGAGACCAGCCGAGAAGCACGCTGCCAGGCGGGGGCCACACGGTGCAGGGCAACATGCCACCGCCCGGCCCTGATGAGGGAAAGCAGTGGGCGTTCCCCGGGCAGCGACCTCAGCCCCGCCACCAGGGAAGCACTGCCCAGCTCTGTGTTGTGTGTGCGATTTTTTGGCACGGTGCGGGGCCTCTTTTGGCTGGCCCCGATTATTTTTTCAGAAGGGAATTTTTTTTTTCAGAGGTGGGCCATATTAAAATGACCAACAGGCTGGATGTGGCCCGCGGGCTGTGGTTTGCCCACCCCTGATCTAGAAGAATCATGTCAATATCTCTCTAAAAGTAATACATTTCTTCTTTATGTCCTGCCTTAGTATGATGAAGTTAAAGTTGATTTTAATCACCTTTCTAGAGGTGCCATATTAAGAGTTTGGAATAAATATAAAATAAGGTTTTCTACGAAGCTGCCTTTTTGGATATCCCCCCCCCCCCCCCCCCCAAAGAAGCTCTTTTTAGAAAAAAGATGGTGACAAAGCTAGACTGGCAAAACATTATTTTTCGACTCTGGTGAACCTACATTAAAGTCAAGGGAAGAATTTGAATTAAGTTATGTTTTTCATTGGTTTACATATTAACAACTGAAAGAAAGATTTAAATCAGATAAAAAGAGTTGTGGGTTTCATTTTGCTAAAAATGAATTGGAAATCTTATTGTGTGGTAGTGATGAGCATATTATTGCTAAGATTTATAAAATGTTATTGAAATTGAGTTTGGAAAGTGAACATGTAAAACATTGTATGGTGTAATTCAGTGGACAAGGAATGCTGGCTATAATGTGATACTTGAACAATGGAAAAATATGTGGCTGAAAGGTTTAAAATTTACACTAAACTATCATTTAAAACAAGTGTCTTCAAACTTGCCAAGTTTAAGACTTGTAGACTTCAACTTCCAGAATTCCTGAGCTAACATGACTGGAGGAGGAGTTCTGGGAGTTGAAGTCCACAAGTCTTAAAGCTGTCAAGTTTGAGGCCCCTGATTTAAAAAAAATTTTTTTTA